GACAGACCTGTACAGCGCCCGCTTCACTGCAGACGCTGCACCTATCCACCTATCAATCTCACGCTCCATTTTTCCCTCATTTGTGAACAAGACCCCGACATACTTTAACTCCTCCACTTAGGGTAGGACCTCCTCCCTGACCCGTAGAGGGCACTCTACACTTTTCCGGCTCAAGACCATGGCCTCGGATTTGGAGGAACTTATCCTCATTCCGGCCACGTCGCATTCGGCTGCGAACCGCTCCAGCAAAAGCTGTAGATCATGATCTGATGAAGCCAATAGGACCACATCATCTGCAAAAAGCAGAGAAGCAATCCTAAGGCCACCAAAATGGATCCCCTCAACACCTTGGCTGCGCCTAAAAATTCTGTCCATAAAAGTTATGAACAGAATCAGTGACAAAGGGTAACCTTGGCGGAGTCCAACTCTCACCGGGAACAAGCCTGACTTACTGCCGGCGATGCGGACCAGGCTCTGACACCGGTCATACAGGGACCTAACAGCCCGTATCAAATGGCCCAGTACCCCATACTCCCAGAGTATCCCCCACAGGGTTCCCCGAGGGACGCGGTCGAATGCCTTCTCCAAGTCCACAAAGCACATGTAGACTGGTTGGGCAAACTCCCACGCACCCTCTAGGACCCTGCTGAGAGTGTAGAGCTGGTCCAGTGTTCCACGGCCAGGACGAAAACTTTACTGCTCCTCCTGAATCCGAGGTTCGACTATCAGACGGACCCTCCTCTCCAGAACCCCCAAATAGACCTTACCAGGGAGGCTTAAGAGCGTGATCCCCTTGTAGTTGGAACACAATCTAGGATCCCCCTTTTTGAATAGGGGGACCACCACCCCAGTCTGCCAATCCAGGGGAACGTCCCCCGATGTCCACGCAATATTGCAGAGTTGCGTAAGCCAACACAACCCTACAACATCCAGAGCCTTAAGGAACTCAGAGTAAATCTCATCCACCCCCGGGGCCCTGTCACCGAGGAGCTTTTTAACCACCTCGGTGACCTCAGCACCAGAGATTGGAGGGCCCGACCCAGAGTCCCCAGGCTCCACTTCCTCAGTGGAAGACGTGCCGGTGGGATTGAGGAGGTCTTCAAAGTATTCCGCCCACCAACCCATGACATCCCGAGTTGAGGTCAGTAGCGCACCACTCCCACTATAAACAGTGTTGGTGGCGTACCGCTTTCCCCCCC